TTTCCAAGATGAAATCCTTTCTTGCAAAATCCAAACTTTTTCCCACACAAGCGAACACATTGCTTTGTCTTTAAAAAAAAAAAAAAATCCTTTTGCTGGTTGTCACGATGCTTGTTGCGTGCTTGACGTAAATACGCGACGCAAACTATATTGGGTCGATGTGTGGCCAGCGTTGATGTGTCCAGCGCCGATCCACGTCGCTGGCTTGCACGGCAGACGCATCGGAACAACAATTAAATAAATCAATTGTTACACCCGTGGAGAGAATTACAAGAGTTCAATACACAACTGGACAACATTTTTAAAGAGGAAAAAACAATCAATGGTCACTGAAAAGAAGTGTCGGGGCTGCTTTTTTGCATCTGGTGCTCGGCGTCTTGAATCTGTGCAGGTTACAAATACATTTCAATACTGATCAAGGTATTCTGGAGTAAAATGTGCTCACTGCTCAGTGCCAGAAAACTTGGCTTCAGCAGAAGTTGTGAGGTGTCTGCCAAGCAGATAAGGACCCAAAACATACAACTGAAAACACTTGAGAGTGCCTAAGAACAAAATATTGGCTTCATTTAAATGCGACCGAACATGTGGCAGTGGCTGAAACCTGCAGTCAGTCGAGTAGGAGCCTATTTAATTTGTTCACGAGGAGTCAGCCAAAATTCAGTTTGACAGCAATAAAATCTGAAATTGAAATATTAATTTAAGGGCAGAATCCTTTATATGCCTTCATTTTCAATATTTAGTTTTTCCATTTCTGGTTACTTTAGTCATTTCAGTGACCCCTGTGTTATTTTTTGTTGTTGTTGGTTGTTTGCGGAAGAGTATCAAGCAATTCTGTCCATTTTTATATGATCTGACTTAACATTCCATACCACTTTTTGGTTCTGTCATCCAGAAAATGTGACTTTCCTGGGATCGATATTTGCATATACTGTACATAAATAACATCCAGGTCCCTTTTTTAAATTCTCAGTTTTTGTCTGCTGATGTGAACGTCCAGGCTGACTTGTATTAGCTGTAGTGCAAGTCACACTCATTTTAAAAGAACTTCCTGTAATTTCCCCTATCCCTCATCCACGCAACCGTCACATCTCTCCAAATCCAGCGGCTGCCAACGAATTTCATTCTGAGAGGATGTGAAATGTAACCTGCTGAATGTGTGCCAGCGAAATGACTTTATTTCACTCAGTATTTGTTGGAAACGCATGCCAATCCTCGCTTCATGGATGAAAATCCTCTGGAGTGATCCTTGCCTGTTTTCATAGAACTTGTTGTCTTGTAACAGCAGAATCTCAGGGCGCGGTCACGTGGAAGTCAACAATGACGCGGGAGTTTGCAGATATTCTGATTCTGATGAAGTTTACATAATGCAACAAAGCTGAATTGTGTTTTTATATAGCCCCCACAATGCTCAATGCTGCAAAACATCAGGCTTTCATCTTAGACACACGCATGCATGCAAGAATATTTTTTTCGTAACAATCGTACAACCTCAGAGACTCAGTTATTACTGTTGATTTATTTTAACGTCCGTCATCATATTTTTAACCAGCCGGTGAGAAAATGTCCATATTTGATGTCCCCCCCACCCCTGTTAAACAGAAATTGAGCAACTGCTCCATGGGACTTCTTTCATCCACTCTCATTTCTGTTTTCTGTCTCTTCGCCAGAAATTGTAACAGAATCAATCTAGACATGTATTAAAGCTGTGAGAAAGATGAAAAAGAAATTGGATCTTTTCACTTGGAAATCTGTCAGGAACAATGCCCACATCTGGATTACCCTGAGTGTGTGGACTCTGGTCTGTGACTACAATGCAATTTTGCACGTTGTGAAACGGGCAGATGACAATGCACTGTGCAGTGTTTGTAAAGGTTCAATAGAAGTAGCAGAAGTCAACGGTGTGGCTTCTGTATAGGAAAGGACATTGAATGGAAGCCTTTGAATACTGATTGACAGATATGGTCGGCTAAAATAGACCTGGGCTCTAAAATTGCAGTGGTCAACAGCACATTTTAATAAGAGATGGCTTTTCCTCCCTAAATGTATTTTTTTATGCAGATTGAAATTAAAAAAAACTCTTTACTTTTTTTTTCTAGCACATCAGTTTTTTTTCAAGATATTGTAGTTTGGGGTTTTTCAATCTATAAAAGCTTGCGCAATATATATTTTATGACTTTTCAGAAAAAAAAATCCACCTCTTGCTGAACCACACCCTTAAATCATAAATATGACAGCATATTACTATAGTACATTTATTATTATAATAGTTATATTAATTTTTATTTTTTTAAATTATTATTATTATTATTATTATTATTAGGGCTGCCCGGTAGTCCAGTGGTTAGCACGTCGACTTCACAGTGCAGAGGTTGTGGGTTCAATTCCAGCTCCGGCCTCCCTGTGTGGAGTTTGCATGTTCTCCTCGGGCCTGCGTGGGTTTTCTCCGGGTGCTCTGGTTTCCTCCCACATTCCAAAAACATGCATGGCAGGCTGATTGAACACTCTGAATTGTCCCTAGGTGTGAATGTGAGCGTGGATGGTTGTTCGTCTCTGTGTGCCCTGCGATTGGCTGGCAACCGATTTAGGGTGTCCTCCGCCTACTGCCTGAAGACAGCTGGGATAGGCTCCAGCACCCCCGCGACCCTAGTAAGGATCAAGCGGTTCGGAAAATGAATGAATGAATGAATGAATGAATTCTTATTATGATTGTTATGATGTGTTATTGTTAAGAAAGCCTGATGTCCTAAAGAAAAAAAAAAGGCCAGACTTGGAATCATTGCCAAAAAACAAAAATCATCAAGAAAAGTTTACTTGCCTCCCAGATTAAAAAATACATAAAATTAATGAGCTGTGTAATGAATTGTCCGAAGGCTGTTTCCTTAAACGTTCTCGTTTGTTTCTTGTATTTGGCAGAAACACGCTGAATGTTCAATGAGCCGCGAATAAATCAATAAATAAAAAGAAACAAAGAACAAGATTGCACTACAACATCGGTACTAATGATTCAGTCAGGAGTGAGTGCAACTCCGCCCCCCATTTTCTTTGTTGAATATCAGTTTTCCCCACGTAAAAACCTTGCCTCTCAGCCGGGATGTTTCATGTTTGTTTTTTGTTCAAATAAAAAAAATAAAAACATTTGAATCAAAATTAAAACAGTCACATTTCCAACATTTGCCGTTTTATTTGTTTCAAATGGAAAACGAACCAATTAATAGAGACAAGTGGCATCCGCGAATTGAGATAATACGTGACAAATGTTTGACCTGGACGCCATGGTCTTTTTTGATGGTGTCGTGTGAACAAGTATTTTCAAAAAGTAAAAAAACAACACAAAAAGTGGCAAGCTGTATTGAAAATGGATGCATGGTTTGATTTCTTTATCAAAATGTGTAGTTCAGATCTATGGTGACTGCTACTTGGGTCCACTAGGATGAATTGCATTATGAAAATGAAAAAAATATATATATCTCTTTGATTACTTTTGAAGAAAACCACATTACACGGGCGGCATTATCAGAACAATAATTGGTGAATCTCATATTCAGGACTTTCTGCATGTGAATGAGTGAGATTGTGCGCTGTGAGTTGGTTTCAGTTTGAAAGGCAAAGCAGAGTATAGAAACAAATACCACCACAACTGCCTGGTCCCGACTACAAAGTCTCTCTCCAAAATCGGAATGTCCTTCTCTGAATGCATATAAAAATAGCAAGGTTCAACCTTTGCAAATCTATTCAGCAGAGGTGCACACGCACACCAATGTGAGATGTCTGATGTCAAATCCTCCACAGTCCGGTTATCCTGTAAATCTTGGATGTTTGGCTACTCTTTTAAGGGAACTGCAGGACGGAGAGTGAGATATAGAATCAAAAGCTGCACACCACGTCAACGAAATAATCCCTCACACCCTCACCCAAGAAAACATTTTTTTCCATACTAGCAATTTTTTTTAGCTACAATCGGGTGTCACCATATTACATTATTTAACCTGAAGTCCAGTGACAATCATACATACATTCATACATACATCTTCACTTATATGGTGCTTTTGCAACCATGCAGCTGTCACAAAGTGCTTTACACAACATTTAACATAAAATAACAATAATACAACCAAACACAAAACATAAAAAAAAAAAAATCGACAATAATACAACTATAACAACTCCCAAGATGTAAAAGGGGGTTTTCGAAATGATGAGCGCACAGGTTCCGGGCGTTTGCATCTGCCTGAACACTCTCACACACACACACACACACACACACACCCACACACACACTACCGTATTTTCCACACAATAAGGCGCACCTAAAAGCATTAAATTTCCTGAAAAGCCGATAGTGCGCCTTATAATCCGATGCGCCTTATACATTGATCAATATTCAGATTTCTTGGACGTAGTATTTTAAATGTTCTGTGAAGCTCTTTGTGACAGCTGCAGCGGTTGTGAAAGCTCGACACAAATAAAGCTGTATAGTCTTGTATTATATTACCTTTAGCATAGCTCCATCTAGTGGATGCATAACGCAACCGCAGCCACCATTTTAGCTTCTATTCTATGCACCTTATAATGCGGCGCGCCCTACAAAAGAAAACAGTTTTCAAATACGCCATTCATTGAAGGTGCGCTTCATACTCCGAAGCGACTTATGGCGTGAAAAATATGATAGCTGAACTCCAAATGTAACTATTTTTGAGGCATTTCACTTTTATTCTTTTAATCCAGAAAAGTAGTGCCTGATAAAATGAACATATCACACATGGAGTTGGTTCGGTTTGCTTAACGTTTCAAAATATTTATTCCCATATTTCTATGGATCCTTTGTGACTAACTGCCCGATTTAACACCATCAGGCAGTTGACTCCTCTGACGTCTCCCCTATAATGTCTTTGATTATTGGAATGTTTGTCCTTGAAATTCTGTGACATTGGATCAAGTCATTTTCTCTATCCGAGCAAGTGCCATTTTATGATTAACAACAACATTGTCCTCTCCTCCAGATCCTGTACTTCCATACATCTCTGCGGTTGCCCAGCAACGTGTTGGTTTTGGAGCTGGTGGCATTGTCAGCAAGGTCAGATGGTTCGCAACAGGCCGTGGGTCAAGGCTTCACCGTTTTGGATCTTTTCCTCAACAAGACAGAGCCTCAAGGGGACAGAAGGTGATGAGCCCAACTTTGCGCTTCGTTGCAGCCTGATATGAATGTTTTTGTCAACAGGTAATAGTAGGACAGCAACGTTATTGTTAGCGTGGCTACTTGAATTTTGTCCTGAAAATTCCATCTTGTTTGGAATTACTACAATGTTTGCTTTACAATGTCATATAAAATACAAGGCCAAATATACTAATCATTTTAAATTTATTTTTTTGCTTTCAACATATAGACTGAATCTACTTCATGGGTCACCAAGAGTTCTTCTGCACCCACTGCTGAAGGATGTCGTTGACTGTAAGAATCTTTCATCTTTATTTCCTGCGGATTCTTAAAGTCTGGAAAGGCATTGCATCCATCCACCCATGCATCCATCCATTTTCGAATCCGCTTATCCTCACAAGGGTCGCGGGCGTGCTGGAACCTAACCCAGCTGTCTTCGGTCAGTAGGCGGGGTACACCCTGAACTGGTAGCCAGCCAATCGCAGGGCACACAGAGACAAACAACCATTCGCGCTCACACTCACACCTAAACACACAATTTGAATATAAATGATCAGAGAGAAGAATGAATTGTATGTGTCTGGAAAGTTTGCCATTTCACATTTGAATTTCTGTTTTATCATCTCTTTTGAAACAATTTTCATGACAGTGTGCCCTTCAGTAGAATCATGTTGGTTGAAGGATTTGGCGCAGGTATGCACGGATGTAGACCTCAGCTAATGCCTTATTTTGACTGCAAATTAACTGAGACCGAATCAATAAATAGCATTTCTCCTGATTGCAGCCAAGCACTCAAACCGTGATCAATCAGTCATCCCTCAACGATGAATCAATAGGTTTCCAAGCGCTTCCCGAACAAAATAATAAAGTTTTGAGCTCGCTCTGTTTCAATTCGAGCAAGGTTATGTCATCACCGGAATCGAATGTAAAGACAAATCCGTTTGAGGTTTCCTCTTAATCCAATAGTTGTTTAAAGACAGTTTGTTAAAAGTCAGACTATGAACTACAAAACGCTCGGGTGCTTTCCAGTATGAATAACAATGTGCTCAGTGAGAGCACAGGGTTCCTGTCTTGGCGATCATGTCCCATGAATATTAGAAAGGCCTCTTTCAAACGGACTCTTACATGAGTTGAATTATTAACCACACGACTCGTTGTTTAGTCAAACGTTGCTCTTCTGTTTCAAGCGGCACACTGCTTGCTGTGTTTTAGCCCTTTTATGGCCACACCCCCCCACTTGCGACAGGGAGACACAGTGTCTTGATGTGAAACAATTTGAAAGGGGAATTTATGGGACTGAGGCAAGAACTGTAAAAAGAAGTCATTTGTTCTGTTGGATGAGCGACATGTTTTCTTTCAGCGGTCATTGATGTGACGTGTTAAAGAGTTATGATGATAACATGGCCTTTATTTCGCCGTTATTCATTATCCGTGCCATTACGTTGCTGCTGCAAACGATTTGGGCGGGCACATTAATCAGTCACGTATGTTGCTCGTAACTGGTCAAAATTAAACACAATACAGGCCGCATTTAATTTCCTTCTAAATTCTCATTGGGACATGATATGTAAAAAGTTGGCCAAAATGGCCACTTCCTCGCTGTTATTTATTCCCTTGTCCTTGAAACAAAGCTCTTTGTACACAACACTATTGAATGTGAAACGGTATAAGGGAAGCCAACAGACGTGGCCCCTGCCAAGTCCGGCAGCCATGCTCACGTCGGTGTTGTGTCCACAGAGACTTTGTCTTCTGCTCGCAAAAACATCCAGCAGGTGCAGCTACAACACTGACTTCTGAATATGTTGTTGCTATCAGCGAGATTTCAAACTAGTCAACTGTTGTTCAATTGTTTTGTGGAAAAAAAACAAAACAAAACAAAAAACTTGGACACAAAGATGACTGGCATTCATGGTACAGTATCAGTAACGTGAGTGACAGTGAATATTGTGTTGTGATGAATAGGCCACTTTTCCAGTTTGTCCTAGTGGGATTTTAAATTTAACCCTGCATATTATTATATTTTAAAGGCCATATGTTGAAGGCCTTTAAAATATAACGGCATTCCAAAACAATATATGAAAGACAAAAGTTCTGAAGACAATTGATTCAACAAAAAGACATACAAACCTCGCGAGCTCACATCCACAAGGGGCTAAATATCCTTAGAAGTCTTGCTTGTCTCCTTCTTCCTTCGTTTAGTCAGTTAACTCTGCTTTTGGTATGATCTTCGTTTCATAATGGCTGCGCAGAGCTCACAAAGTAGTTGTCTGTTGGCGAAGTGTGTGTTGGCGAATGCACATGACGATTAGTGTTGGGCAGAACCCTTTCAGGTTACAATTGCTTCCGAATAATCACTACTTGATGGCATAGGAACACGTACAGGGAAACAACTCAATGGGGAATATAAAGAGACTGGAACACCATATATATAAGGTGCATCGGATTATAAAGCTTTGGAGAAAATTGAATGCCTTTAGGTGCGCCTTATAGTGCAGAAAATACGGTAATATTTCCTGCTGAGAATATTTTATGAACTCTGCTGTCTGGGCATTGCTGTCTTGTTAAAGGCCATCAGTGTATTAAATCTGTCTAGTTTGTCGAAATTTAGAGTTCCCCATTTGTTTTTTTTCTGAAAGTTAACTCACAAAAGTAACATGAAAGTACACGTTACAATTCAGAGACAGGAATCGAATGGAACTAATTGCTTTTGAATGGTAGTAACTTGTAATGTACAAAGTACTCCGCAGACTACAAAGTAATGGGCACTGAGCACCAGCCCTCGAAGTATATTAATTGATCATTCCAGATGTTTTTTTTCCTTTCTTGAAGCTGGCATTATTTCTGTAATCATCTCAATTACTTTCTTCTTTCCCACTCAACCTAAAAACACTTCTATTTTTTTTTTTTCTGCATCTGCACCTCGGATCCCTTTCGTTTTCACATCTTGTGCCAAGCTGCTGCTCAGATGACTCTGAGGCATCACACGCCGCTCACTGCAGCTGTAAGGAGTCTTTTTTAGGGCTAGTTTTCTAATCTCTGCGCATGGCATCAGACAGGTACTCGAGGATGATGCATAATGAATAGCAAGAAATAAATGATGAAAAAGTTGTTGGCAACTGGGCACGAGCTGTGCCGAGCAAGTTCCATGTGATCCATATTGCTCTCATTTATTTCTTCTCTCAGTTACTTCTGCATTTTGTGTTAGGGAGAGTTTTTTTTTATTTTTTTTTTACTGAAAGCGGCTTTTACCACTGGATTGTTTGTGAAACTGAAATGAATGTGTTGTAACCCAAGAGATTTCTCTAAGCCATCTTCCTCTCTTGGCTTTAGACTTTTTTTTGTGGTAACTGAGCTGTTGGGGAGAGTGAAAGAAAGAGATGACAGAGGAGGAGAGAATTTAGATGTTTCATAATCCACCACTGTTTTGATTAGGGAGTCTTTTAAAAAAATGTTCAAATTCACCGACAAATAAACTTCCATTGCATATACAAACAACAACAACAGAGCTCCTGTGGATCTCTGGTGCACAAAATCCAAACGTCTATTATAACGGAGAAGAAATGAGAACATTTCCCTGATAGTGGTATAGTTGGAAAATAGTGCATCATATTTTTGGGGGGAGTTAATTGAGTCACAACACCGTATTTTCCGCACGATAAGGCACTTCGGAGTAAGGCGCACATTTAATGAATGGCCTATTTTAAAACTGTTTTCATATATACGGTGCACCACGTTATAAGGCACATAGAATAGAAGCTACAGTAGTGGCTGCGGTTGCATTATGCATTCACGCTAAAGGGAATAAAATACAATACAGCTTTATTCATATAGAGCTTTCACAACTGCTGCAGCTGTAACAAAGCGCTATACAGAGCATTTCAAATACTATGTGCAAAAAATCAGAATATCGATCCATATATAAGGCGCATCGGATTATAAGGCGCACTGTTGCCTATTGAGAAAATTTAATGCTTTTAGGTGCGCCTTATAGTGCGAAAAATACGGCCCGTATTTAACCATGCAATAAGTATCCCATTCATGTCAAAATTTTGATTGTCAATCAATATGATGAGCTTGTATTGTTTAAGGGGTAATTTATTTCATATTACATTTACTTGGAGTTTTTTTTTTTTTTCATACATATGAATGTGTATGGAGAAGTGCTGAGCAAGTATGCTTCACATTCCAGTCTTTTACCCTGGCCCTTCCTGTGTGAATTTCTCCCTGTGCTTGTATGCATTTTCTCTGGCTTTCTCCCCCATTGCAGAAACATGCATGTTTCGATTGCATTGTCATTGAGCTACGTTTTTTTGTCTATATGTGCCCTACGGATAACTAGCAATCAGTCTAAGGGTGTATCCCGCGCAGCCGGGGGATTCACTTGACCCGCAACCCTCATGAGAATAAACCGGAGCGAAAATTGACAGATGTGTTGAAGAGTTGCCGAATCTGGAATTGACGGACTTCGGCACTTGGTATTGATGCTATACACTAATTGGTGCCCTCGTCCACTTGCGTATTGCGATACTTGATGAATTGCCATCAACCGCATTTACTGTACATTTTCATTGATTTCACAACTGCTGGTGTGTTGTTATAAACGGTGCTCCAGCATGTCCCTTCTTTGTCATTCATCACTTCGCTGGACTATGAAATAACTTTTAAATACACGGAGTGACGTGTGTAAATTTGAGCGGTACAATACTGAATTATGACAATAACTAAATATAGATGAACAATATATGGAACATACTACTGTTGTGCATAGAGGAAAAGCATATGGATTTTGCTACTGCGCTCCAGGACATTTTGATGAGGGAGGAATTTAAATGGTTTGAGGTTTATGGTTTGAGGCTGGTGTCTTAGCCTATCGTGGCAAATGCAACTCTTTGTATATTGGTTTGTCATTGATTCCGATGAAAGGTGAAATCATGAACCTTGTCAGAGTGAAACATTCTGAGGCTGTTGAGGCTTGAAGGCAGTCACCAAAACGCCGCCCGCTCACCTTGCAGATAGTCTGTGTTCAAAGTTAATGGCCGGGATTGTCTCGATGTGGTTGGATGACCTGCCACAACATCAAGCCGCAGACGCCTTTGGAGAAGCGTATTTTCCAATTTGAACGCTGTCATTTTGGTAAAGACCTGGAAAACGATGCTGGCGATGTAAGGGAATATTGCAGTCAGGTCGTTGACAGCCAAATGGAATGTTGAAAAATGAAAGCGTCTGCGTCTTGGGTGTCATGTTGTCAGTAGACTAACACCTGAAAATGTTACACTGTCTGCGACGTACCATGGTGATGGATAATTCTTTCTTGGACGTGTAGACAATGATTTTTGAGAGCAATATCATATGTACACTTTCCTTGGCAAAAATTCTTTGGTCAGCCCTGAAATTTCTGGCTAATTCTCTTAATTTTTTTGGAGACATTTGACATCAAAACGTGACAAAAAAAAAAAGCACTTCATTCTTTATTGTTATGTCTTCAGATGTGGGTCTGATAACGTAACTTTGCGGGTTAGAATCCATTTACAGCTGCAACACCGGAAGATAAAAACCATGCATTCGCAAGAAGAATAATAGAGAGGCCAAGGCTCAAGACTGGAATAAAAAATCTGCCTGGTAGTTTTATGGACAGATTTTCAAGTGAGCAAAAGTATTGGAACACATGAGTGATGGGTGTTTCTAGTTGCTCAGCTGCATAAACATTCGAGAGAACTTGTTTTAGGCTTTGGGTTTCATCTGTGAAAACCACATTTTCTGTTTAGCAAACAAAGACCAGAGAGCTGTCTTTGGGAGAAAAGCAAAACATTTTCAAGATGAGAGAAGAGGGAAAATCGATCAGAGCTACACATCTGTCCGCCCTCACAATCAAACCTCGGGACAATTTTGAGTGTTCCATTAACCTGGCATGCATGTTTTTGGAATATGGGAGGAAACCGGAGTACCTGGAGTAAACCCACGCACCACCTTGCTGCCCTTCCCAAAACATCTTAGAGCCATTTTATTTCATGTAGAATCCTAAGATGAAGCAATCCGATTGTGTGAGGATCTGGCTAAAGGTTGCAGATACAGTCATTTATTTTCACTCTTTGCGACACTGTGGCAACAATGGAACTATCCACCGCACATTGTCTGTTTCTCAATCTCCATGAACCAAAGAAGTAGTCCGATAATGAACAAACGGATGGATAAACTTCTGAATGAACTCAAAAAAATTCTATTTATATGTGGTCGAATATCTTAAATGTTTGTACAGTACTGGATGTAACGATTTTCTATTCAGCATAGCCGTTTTCCGTGTCTTCTGAAAATGTATATTATTGTTGTGTTGCCAGACGGCGATCACCTGAAAGCTATTGACGAAACACATTTGGAATGTGTGCTCAAAGGACACCCTGCACTGGCTTCCATGATGCACCTCCTTCCAGAGAATGTCCTCGTGTCAGGCAATGAAACCATTCCTGGTCTTGCAGCTTCTCCGACAGGCAAGCTCTCGTTCTCATGAAGCGATCATGTTGGGGCCCAATTCGCATGGAGGTCCTGATTTTTTTCCTGAGTCTATCCTTTAACTCAAAACAAGCATAACATGACGTTTGTAGAAAATTCTCAAACCTGCAGTGATGTGTCAGGGGTAGCAACATTGAAACTTGTAAACTGCTAACACAAATAGAGTACTTTAAATATAAAGGGTAATAAACCAGAAATTGCAGGTTAACAGGAACCTGAAATGTCCAAACACTGTTGATTATCCATTTCATGCTACCTGTAACCTCATAACATGATAAACTGTCCACTGGAGTAACCGCTCTCCCTGAAAGGGTTAACAAAAAAAATTGCAACTGATGCAAAATGTATTCAATATTTTGTAATAAAAAGGCAATTAAAGATTAAATTAAAAAAAAAAAGTAGTTTACTTTGCATGCATGATTGCAATCTCTCCATCCATGAATCCATTTTCTGTCGCTTATCCTGTTCAAGGTTGCGGCAGCCTCTTGAAAGGCAATCCATTCCTTGGCCTGTTTGCCAGTTCATCACCGAGCATCAAGAGAGGCACACAACCATTTATACGCAAATTTACATTTTCACTGACTGGGAATTGAACCCATTCTTGTTCATGAAGCATACAAAAATGTACTGGAAAATGCCCTGAGGAGTGTCATGTATAGCAATTTCCAGAAAAGCAACAGGTGTATAAAGAGCTGCAACATTGTCAGCCCCCAGCCCCCTCCACCGCCTCCTTATCCTGGTGAGTTTATGCAGTGCTTCAGACAAACAGCGAATTGGCCCAGGCTGGCTGAGCCATTTTTATCCAAAAGGCGACTTTATCAGGTAATTGCATGTGAGGAGGACTGCAGCCCAGCTTGTTTTCTCTGTGCTGATGGATTTGCGCACGAAATATCTTGGCCAAAAACAAAAATTCTGCTTTGCCACAAGTACACAATTTCTGGGCCAGGAAGCTCAATTATTTGCCATTATTTTAGAACTATTTCTTGTAAAATGTATTGAGAAAAAAAAGGGTCAATTAACTTTGCCGTTTGTATGGGGTCCAATTACATCACACGAAAACAGGCTAAAAGTTATAAAATACCCTACAGGAGCCAGTCTTGCGCACATTTTTGACAGTTTGTACCTCCAGCCTCTTTGGGAACTTTTTTTTCCAATCAGCACTGGAAAAGTGCTCGGGAAGATAGTTACTCAGAGGGAATGTGATGAAGTATGTCAGTGCAGAGCTGCAATCATTGGGAGTTTGTGGAAGGTGTGGTAATAGGCTAATCCTCCAATCATGCTGTGGCTCTGTGAGACCTAAGCTGCCTTTTCAGACTCCACTATCTTGATATTCACACCGCTTTCCAAACACTACGCAATCAAAAGCTCCGGGTTCACATTTACTGCTCCTGAAGAGCTTAAAATCACAGGCTTGATCTGTTGTGTCAGAGAGATGTGATTGCATACTGTGTTTCTCTTTAACCAAATGGAAAACATCACTCATTTCTGTGTTTGTTTTGGAGTCACAGGCATTTGACAGCATGGTGCACTGCAGTGCAGCAGTTGTTCAGAAGATTTTATTACTGTAGTACCTTGTATCCTCTAAAAGTTGTACCACAGGGAGTTAAAAAAAAAAATTAAAGATTGATTGATTTATTGATTGATTGTAAATTCTCGTAAGATTACTTTGCTCCGCCGGGCATTCTTATCATTGAGGCTTGGGTTAACTAAGAGCAAAAAGACCAACCATTATGCTATATTAACGCTTTCATTCCACAAGATGTATACTTGTAGGTCTTTTTAAAATTATGCGCCACCTACCAAGGATGTACTTGTACGTCTAAGTCTTTTTTTTGCATCATAGAGAGGAGGAGGGTCTGATGCAATCTGTGAATGAGAATAAGCCGTTTGCATTGCAAAATTTTTGCATGTAAAAAAGCGACCAGTAGGTGGCAGTGGTGCCTCACGAAATGCATGCTTTTACAAAAAGCTCCTTTCTCCATTTTTTGCCCAGGAATCGCCATTTTCATGAAACTTAGCCATTTAGTAATGCCGATTGCTGAAGAATGGAAAAAGATGAAAGAAGAGAGTCCAAACTTTATTTTGGTAGGCTCCATGTTTATATAGCATTAGAACCAAATATTCTGTGGGCCTTGCAAGATCAGTCAAAATCCAGTAAAACACTGGGATTGAGGGGAGTGAAAATGCTCCAGTGAAAATGGCTGGGATTGAATGAGTTAAATATGTGATTTCAATGGTCCTATGTGAGTCCTCAAAAGAAGTAAAGAATAAAAGAATAAAATCCAGTCTCCCTACCTGTGCATTACTGAATGTGGATTATATCAACCCGTTTAGACATGAGTTCACTAACATTTAAGTTACAATACAATACAATACAATACAATACAATACATCTTTATTTATATAGCACTTTCACAACAGCTGCAGCTGTAACAAATCGCAGAACAGGTAACATAAAATAACAAAATAATATAACACAACACATAAGACCGTAACCACAATTCCTGAATATGCTTTATAGTTTGAAGCGGGTCTAGATGAAAGAGGAGAGACTCAAAGTGTTCTTTCACCAGTGGATCAGAGATGTCATGCTCAAAATGTGCCCAGATCCGCTTCAATTCCAAGCGTCGACTCTCAGTTTCAAATACGCATCTGCGCTATCCTCATCCTCGGCTCCACCAGCCATCCATCCATCCAGCCGCTCCAATGTAGACTTTCCAACACTGCCGACATCTCTGCTGAACAAAACATGGCTGTGAAAAATGTTGCCCATTACAGGCGCAAAAAACCGCCCCGGGGATGTCGAGTGCCGATAGTCAAAGAGCTCTGACAGTCCCCCCTGTCAAAATCAAAATCAGTGTTGGTACAAGCAGGCGCCGAGAAGGCGCACCCATGAAGCACAGATTCTTCTCATTCGATTAATGTCGTGGCCAATCTTGTGATAATACCCAACACTGTAGCAGTATTATGGGAAAAAAAAAACAATGCAAGCTATCACTGCATTGCCTTTAGTCGTGGTCTTTACTTTTTTTCAACCCCCTGCTGCCACCGCATGTTCACAATCCATATCACAGTGTTAACTTTAGTCCCAATTAATCCAATCACTGTTGCGATACAGTATGTCATTTTGAACCACAGTGGGTAATGTTGTCAGACTGAAAGAAGCGGTTCTTGTGGCTGCAGAGTTCACCAACAACCCAAGTGTCAAAGAATTTGTTTAGGTTAAAGCAGGAAACATAATTTTATTGAAGCATCCCTTGGGTCCATGTAAATAAGGCTGCCCTGACCCAGCTGGGTGCCTGGAAGCAAACACTAAGCATCCAAGCAAATGTTCTGCTTAGTTTCTTAGAAAGTGCTCACATCTAAGTTGTACTGGCACAACTGCAACACGGAATCATGTCTTTTCTACTCTCATCCTCTGCTTTAGGACAGCGCAAATCAGGTTGCGACAGGACAGTGTTTCTAGGAATAAATGAGCCACAATTTACATAAAATATCCTTTTCCACATGTAACTTCCAGTTTATTTTGCAACATTGTTTCGTAGCTGCCATCCAACATCGCGGAGCTGAAATTCAGCGAAAAGAGGGCAAATGCCCGTAAGCGAAGCTGGAATGATTTCCGAAGCAAAGAAGGAAATCCCACAGATGCAAATGGCACAAACATACTTTGATGCTAAGTTTTCGCTGTCAACAGGGGATGCACTTTTGAAACCTCTGCTGCTCAAGATGCTGCCCTTCACATTGAGCAGACTGACAATCTGCCTCCAGCCGTCCCTCGAGGCCTTCGACAGTCAGCTGCTGCAGCTCATCAATGCCGACTGCCAGAACACGGTAAAGCCTTTCCGCTGTGACACGCTTGGCCTTTATCCGCCTTTCGCATGCCACATTGGTGATAACTGCAACAAATCACATACTCGACGGTCTTTGGACTTCGTTTTATTTTATTTCTTGTGCACCCAAGATTAGAGGTGATTGAGAGCAAAAACGCAGACTTCCCTCGAGGCATTCAACTATCGAATCCGTAAGTGAGCTATCGAATGGTTAAGAACAAGCCAACAAGCTCCTGCCTGTCTGCAGGCTTAATTGCTCGCTTCAACATAACTATTCTGAAATTGAAGCTTTGGCCGCCCATCGAGGACAGATGAACTCACTTGTCACAGGTGATGCGAGATGGCGTTCTGGTGGTGAATCTACAATCTGATTGTCTAAAAGAAGAACCAGTGTTTTCAGTGGTGTGTGTGTGTGTGTGTGTGTGTGTGTGTGTGTGTGTGTGTGTGTGTGTGTGTGTGTGTGTGTGTGTAGTTGACGGCTGCACTTAAGGTACCGAAGGCGTTGGATGGAATAATATAAGCATGGCAACACATCAAAGCTGAAATCTGATTGGACCCCGAAAAAATAAATAACACACAGAGGATTGGAAGCCACGCTCACAAGACCTACGCAATGAAATGAGGACAAAAGACCGTTGATTTCCACTTCATTTAAATTGTCAAATTAAGTCTGTGTTTCTGATGGTGTTTACGCCTGCCGAGAAGGCCCTTGACGGAACACCACTGATTTCTCTCCACACTTAAAGATGTATATATGTATATTTGAAGTGTTTAGGTGTACTTTTGTGACACTCGTGCACATTCTATATCCACTGATAACATTTAATGGTAGTGAGGTGCATTTGACATCTAAAAGATAACCGTGACAGCCTTGACACACCTCTACAAGGATTATTTCCTGCGCCCATGTGCTTTTCTTTATCTCGGTCTGTATTTATGCAATCTCCAAACACATTTCTTCTATTTATTTTATTTTTTTTTAATACAACTGCCACTGCACATTACCTCCCAATGAAATGCGTCTCACAGTATAATGTATTCTCTCCTTGTTGGGGTCCAATGAAACCGGATACTTCATCATATTTGACATCTGCAAAAAGTGGCCTTGCCTAGTCTTGTACGACTGCAGAGTTGAGCACACATACAAATGTTATTTTGCGTCCAAGGATGTATAGTTTGCTTATTATTCTTCTTCCGCTCCTCTTTGTCGCGCTTCGGAGCAGCGCTGCCACGCCGCAAATTCAAATGAATGAGGAAAAATAATGGTTCTTATTATTTTATTCAACCCACACAGTCATCGGTTCCAAAAGCTTTTTCAATAAGAAAATCAAAGGGGAGGTCATGGAGAGAAAAGTGATGAGCAAATGAAGCCATGACGTGACTAAGCTTCTTGTTTTTCAGATGCCGCTAATATGTTGCTCAATAGCGACTGCCCTTTTCGAATAACTAGTAATCTTGCGCCTTACTATATCTAATCTAGTCATCGGATTGAAGTTACTAATCAAAGACTTAATTTGTTACTTTGTGACATAACTGTAAATTTCCCCAGTGTGGGACAAATAAAGGATATCTTAATCTTGTTGAGAGTAGATTTTTTTGGAGGGGGGGCGGGGGATTACTAAAATGCAAAGAAAAAGCAAAACACAGGAGTGCAAAGTCAATCCTGATGCATGCTGAACCCAAGTCCCCCTTCTAATAGCAAAAAATAAATGAATAAAATAAGATAAATACAATTACATTAAAAAATAAGATCAAAATTAAAAGATGGGCCATAATACAATCTCTCAGTTTCACTATGTGGCAACTGATACACTGCCATGAATATTTTTCTCATTCATTTTTTTTTCCTCTTCTCATTTTTTAGCATGCTCTTTGAAGGACGTCACAAGCAGCGTGCCCGGGCTCAGATTAGTTAGACTTTTTCTATTAAAGAAAAAAAAAATTTTTTTTTTTTTTTGTTGAGCACAATGACGACATTCTCGCATCTTTGAGAGGTGTTAATATGCCCAGAAGTCGCGTCACTTACAGCTTTTAATGAAACTGTGTATGAGTTGTGCATGTGTGAGAGACAAATACATGCGGATGGAGGAATAAAGGGTGTGTGACTTTTTGAAGTTTGACTCCCAACGGATTGTCATCAAGCTGTCTTTGAAGTGATGCTGACGCCTTACCCGCCAACTCCTTTTTTTAAGTTGTGTGAGTGAATATGTGTTAGTGTATTTTTGACTCTATGCCAGTGTGTGAAAATTAGGTGTGAAAATGGGAGGAATAAGGTTGCGGATAAATGTACAGTGCGGCATGAGATGAATCATTGATGCTTCCTGCTAGTTTGGCAAACAGTCCCGGACCTCAGATAATCTTGTCATAAGTACGTCTATTTTTAGTGGAAAAACTATCACGCTGGCTTCTTATTACACTTATCTTTTTGAGCATGCATCATATAGCCAGTGTCCTAGATTTTGTGCATTTGATGACTTCTCCGTCCACTCTATGAATTTGTAATGCCGTTTAATGAGCACACGACTAATTTGCGCGATGCTCTTGAACCTCTGCAAACATTCACTGACCCCTGTTTTAAGAAACTAACGTTGACATTAACCTTCATCTGCATTGCACCCTGAGCGTGTTTGACCTCCCCATAAGCGGCGGCGACATCATCACCTTCCGGTGTCCTGCAGCAACGGTTCACCTACGCCGCCGATAAAATCCATTACTCTTGATAAAAAAGGCTCGAGATCTTGTCAGAAATTAAGTAACATCTTGGCTCCTGATCAAATGGAGAGTGAGAACAGAAGACGACAAAGAGGGGAGTGAGGAGCGGACCGGGACCGGTGCTTTGCCAGAGGCAGAACAAAACGCCCAAGGCTGATTTAATGAATAGAGAAAGACTGCCAACAAAGCTCCAGGAACTTTTCATTTGTCCTAAAATAGGAAAAAAAACTCCCTCAAAGTAGGACTCCCCCTGCAGATGTGCAGCTTGTTTCAAATGAAAAAAAAAAAAAGGGAGTTAGCAAAATCGCAGAAATAAGAGGCCGTTTCATGATGTCTGCCGTGCCGCTTTGTTTGTCTTAACCCTTGTGACTGACCCCGCATAACGGAGGTTTTTGGAGCAAGCTGCTACTCCGTATGACATCTTGATGGCACGGATTGCAAAGTGCAGGACCATGAGATTCCCTTTAAAAGATGAAAAGTGCATGGACTCTATCTGGTGTCTTTCTCTCTTTCTGGGCTGATGAAATGCCTCAGCTTCCCAAGCAAAATTCTAACAAATCGCACAAGATGTTTTAACAACAACAGTATATTTTATCTTTCCACAAAAAGCAAATTTTCTCTTGATTTAGTCCCAGATTGGTGATTTGAGTGCAACCAAGCTATTTTCAATCTTTCATATACTCCCGTCTTTAGATAGTCAAAGCACAATATTCTGTCGACCTTGAAACATGAGTCAAAATGTTTGAAAGTGCCTGGCACTCTAGGGGTTGTCTTTTCGGAAAACGCTTGGTATTGAAAGAGTTCAACATGGAAGCGAGGAGCCACAATTATAATATGTCTTACCTTATTGTAGTCGATCACGATGGTGAAGTTAAAATGCAATTGACTTTTCTTTTATGTCTTTTTCCTTAAATGCTGGCCACTGGTAGGACCCAACCTTTTCTTCTTGTAAGTGGGGGTCATAGTAGAAGTAAATTGTAAACACGTTTTATGTACACATTGTCGAGACGATATAAGGAGCAGCATAAGAACATTTTGCATTGATAGATTCATTGCCGATGTTCGGGGTGGCAACTAGTGTTTCAAGACATATCATGTAAAAGTGGCAGATGAGAAACTGCCTCTGCTGATATGCTCTAAAAATATTTGGTTGACTTACTTTTAACATGCGGCCCGGTGGTCCAGTGGTTAGCGTGTCCACCTCACGGGTCGTGGGTTTTCTCCGGGTACTCCGGTTTCCTCCCACATTCCAAAAACATGCATGGCAGGCTGATTGAACACCCAAAATTGTGCCTAGGTGTGAGTGTGAGTGCGGATGTTCATCTCAGTGTGCCCTGCGATTGGTTGGCAACTGGTTCAGGGTGTCCCCCGCCTACTGCCTGAAGACAGTTGGGATAGACTCCAGGAAAATGGATGGATGGATGGATGAATGGATGAGTAGTTTTAACACCTGCTGTGCTCAATTGATATCCTTAAAAACAGTTATTCAAATAAATAAACATTTGGACATTTTAAACAATTTTTTATGTCCATTTTCCCCCCATAATGCATTGCCAAGACATTGGATTGAGACTCGGATATTGGCAGATATTCAAAATCAAGCGACTCAGACTCGCAAAAAAATAGGATCATGGCATCCCTAATAATGAGCCAATGCAGGGGGGGGGGGACGTGTCAGTCCTTCATTGATGTAGACGTCCAGTGAGAGTTTTAAACTGTCGAAAAAAAAATGCCACGGTCGTCAAAGTGTGGGTAAGTGACATAATTGCCCATCGTAAAATGAGTTTGAGTATGTTTGACGGTTTCCAGCAAAAGGGAAGACCGCTACTTACCGGTACATTAAAAACGTATTGGGAGTTCATCAGAATTTGCGGTCCCAGGGGCGATATTGTATGAAATGTTATTAAGCCTGCATGTCCGCATTAATAATTTACATGTGGAAATTGAGGTCTTGCTCTCTTTATGAGTCAATCAATCAAAGTTTAAACTTTACATCTCCACATGCAAGCACAGAGGTTTAATAAGTGCTTATAAAATATTTCCCCCCTGGGGTCTCAAACTATTACCACAAATCCAAATGATATCTTTTAACGTTTGTATTAGCATTAATATTGTTGTTCTTTTGTTGTTGGATCCTAAAACGTATGCCATGAGGAACATCGGCCTCTGGGTTGACTAATTCTGCCGGAAATTCCTTTTCATGAAGTCCGCCCGCTATGAAACAAAAAAATGAAAAGGACAGTGCCGATTGCATGGCAACATTTGTAGTGCATATTATGAAACATACTC